GCTCTTTTCCAGGCGCATCCTGGCTGTGGAATGGGAGGAAGGAAATAGGGCAGAGGGGGGAAGAGAAATACATTCGCTGCTGGGCTTCTCTCGGCCACTAGGTGGTGCTGTCCGCCTTCCATCTGCAGCCTCAGTCTCCTCACCCCATCCTCAAAACCCCTCCACCAGCTGCTTCTGCAGCTCTCAGTTACACTCGCTTGCCCTTCAGATTTTGGATAAAAACGCCCCCCCCCCCGTTCCGGGGACGCACAGCAGCCACCCTGAGGAGTGACCTTGCCAACAACAGGAGGGGGCTTTTCAAATGATCTGCCACTGGCTCACGCCGCGGGAGGCGCACCAGGCTGTACGGAGGGGGAGGCAAAGGGCGGATGCAAGAGAGAACACACCACGGGCTGAATATAACCAAGTATTCATTTATTAACAAAATAAGACTTACCAAGATGGAGCTCTATTCACCCCAAGCCAGCCGCAGCCTCCCCTGCTGCGTTAGACGGGGGGCGGGCCCTTCAGGGGTCATTCCTGTAGGTCAAGAAGAGCTGGGGTTTGGGGAGGGGGGGTTTTTGGTATGTCGACTGGGCCTGGAGGAATCAGAGCAAGGTGGAGTTGGTGCTGGATTCATTGACCCAGTTTGGACCAGGCCGGGCAGCTTCTCCGGGCTATTTCTGGCGGTCCTGAAGGGTCTCGTCCTCCCACCCCCTCAGCGAGTCCCGGACACCACATTCATAATCCACGTCTTTGCATTCTGAGCAGGTGCCCCGGGGCGGGCCGGTGAGCCAAAGTAAGTCATCCACAATGGCACCCAGCCATGACCCCTTCCCCTGGGACGGGGGTGACTCCGTGGGAGCAGGGGAGTCCAGAGACCAGGCTGACGGGTGCCCCCGAGAGTTACGTCTGTACGGCACCCACTGGTGCTGGAAGACAAGGCGGATGTTCGGAGCACGGGAGAGCAGGACTGGAGTCGGGAGCCAGGATACCGGAGCGGATGGAGGACCACCGGGCGGAATCCAGATAGCACGTCCTACGTCCTTTTCCAAAGTACAGCAAGAAGCAGGGAGCAGCCGCCCACTGTCCGGCTCAGGAGAGGGTGCGATGGCTTCTGGCAGCCCCTGGGGGCCACGTTTTGGGATGAAGATAGCTCGAGGGGGGGAGGCGCAATGCCCCCAACGGTCTCCCAGCTGCCCTTCCTGCCCCCCTACCACTGCTGTTGCCCCTTCCCCAAAATACATTACAAAAAAATATTACATCTCGGTTAACTGTACAACCAAAGAGAAACGGAATTTCAAAATGATAAAGGTGGGAGGGGGAAATTAATGTGTTAGGAGTCATGCAAGAACATCCCAGAAAGGGGAGCGGAACAAAATCAAACAGATGTGTCAAAAGAAGAGCCAAGAGAGGAGAGAGAAAGGAAAAGAAAAGCCCCACACCTGCAAAGGATATTTTTTTTTTTTAGACACAGACTTTTTGCATACCATTGATTCATTGGTGTATTAATGCACTTATATTCCCAGCTTGAAGCGAACATACAGTCAATAAATACACAGTCCCAGGGAGGGAAGGCGCGGGAGGGAGGGCGAGACGCCGGGGGGGCTCGAGTTACTGATATCCAAGCGCAGACGCTGATGTGAGTCTTTGGCCGTACAGCGCATATGGAGAGTAGTAAGGTCCCGCTGCTGGCAAGGAGTGCACCGGGAGGGTGCCGGCTGTGGGCAAGTGGCTCTTGCCATATGGGTGGTACCTGTTGAGTCCCAAAGTGTGTGGGTTCCTCAAAGACAGGGACCCGGGCAGAGCGCTGGGGCTCCCGGGGGCGGTGGGCGGGAGGTGGAGGTGGCAGGAGGCCGCAGAGCCAAGCCCCGAGGTCGGGTATCCCGCCAAGAGTTTCTCTGCCCCGGGCAGGGCCGTGTGGGTCCGTAGGTGGGTGAGCAGTTCCTCCGAGGTGGCAAACCTCTTGTCGCAGGGGCCGCTGGCTGACACCCAGTTGCATATGTGGGGCAGGGGGTCGTTCTGGAGCATGAAGCCGTAGGTGTAGAGGGGGTGGCCGGGCAGGCTGGGGGTGGCGCTGGAGGACAGGGTGGTGTGCACGGAGTGCAGGGGGTGCGTGGGGTACACCAGGGGGTATCCGCTTTTCAGGCTGCCAGGGTCGTGCACGCAGCTGGAGCAGTTGCTGGTGCCCAGGGGCGAGGCGCTGTGGTAGCTCAGGCAATAGGGGTCCCGGCATAATCCCTGCATGAAGGAGGGCGGGGAGGCCCCGGTGAGAGGGCTGGAACTTGGCGGTTTCCCGGGCAGGCCCAAAGTCCCCGGCAGCTGGCTGCTCACCAGGCCGGGCTTGGTAGGATCCAAGGCCGGCACGAACTGGGAGGGGTACCCGGCGTACGCCCCCACGC